AGCTTAGTTTTTTAAAGTTCAACTATAATTCTTCTGCCGCCATTTTAATTTAAAAACAAGAGCATGTGCGTAGGTCCTTACTTTTCATATAAATTATTATTTTTATTTCATGGGTGACTTTCGCTGAAATTCGCAATTAATTTTGATTATTTCCAAATTTATTTCCAAGTTACAAATAATTGTTATCGTAAAAAAAAAAAATCGTCGCAAAAATTCGCGTACAATAGTCGCCGAAAACAATCGCAATAATGAAAACTTGGGAATCCAAAATTTCAGGAATGTTTTTAATTTGCTCACGGTGTTGACCTGATTTCGAAATATATGATATGATGGGCTCCACCTCTAGGTGTATAGTTGAAAAAATGTGACGAAGTGACACACTGACTTTTGCATTTATCATATAGATTTTCACAACTGATATTGTAATCCGTATCGGCCATTTCTTATTGCTTACAGCGATTTCAAATCAGCAACACCTTTTTGGCAATAAGCACTTTTGACGGATAGTCTACTTGCTTCCTCATATCCAGTCGCAAAGATATTTCCAGAATAAGATAGGACATTGCAATATCGAATAGAAACTTTACGGGGTGTTGTTTCATTTGCGATAAAATAGACGTTGTATTATCGCAAACTGGTGTGATCGATTAACCATTAAAAAAAAACATTTGTCGACTCATACACGGGGCGCATCTGAATGATTATTTGGATAAACAAGAAGGTTTTGATTTATAATAGAAAGCTATTTATATACACGCCTTAAAGCGAATGTATTTTTTCCATTGGAAGTCCTCTAATTCACATGAAGCATGAAGATTCTTCTTTTCCTTCCTCGAAGAATTTTTGTCTTTGTTTTGAATCCAACCATCTCGTTGCCATTTCTCATTTATTTTCTCTTTTTCTTCTTCTTCGTCTTCTTTTTCTTCTTCTTCTTCCATTCATATACTTTGTTGGATTTGCTTCTTTTTCTAATGTTCTTCATCTTCTTTTTTTATATCTGGTCATTTATTTGTGTTCATTTTTTTCTTCTTCCAACGCTTCTCTTTCCTTCTCCCCCGCTTATTTTCTTTCCGATTCTTCTTCTTCTTCTTTCCAATTCTTCTTCGAATTTTTCCTTCCAAAAATTCAGGTCTTCAATAATGGTACCAACATACTCTGGCTTTTCTTTATTCTTCATTTCTTATTCTGGTATCAAAACCTCTATGGGTTATTTAATGAAGAAATATAAGTATTTTTAACACAGTCTTAAATTTTCCTCTTTTTTCCTTTTCTTTGTATCTGTCTTCTTCTTCTTCTTCTTCTTCTCCTTCTTCTTCCAAATTTCACTTTTCCTTTTCTTTCTTATTCTTCTTCACATTTTTCTACTTTACCTTCTTCTTCTTCTTCTTCTTCACATTTTTCTAGTTCTTCTTCTTCTTCTTTTTTATTATCTGCCTTCTTCCACGTCTTTTTATTCTTCTCCTCCTCTTTATTTCTTCATATTTTTCTGTTTTTCTTCTTTTTATTTATCCTTTTTCGTATTCTTTTTCTTCTTCTAATCCTTCTCTTTTTACTTCCACTTCTGCTTCTTCTTCTTCTTCTTCTTCAAGAATTTATACAATTTTTCTTTTTATCTGTCTTCTTCCTCGACTTTTTCTTCATATTTTTTTCTTTGATTTCTCATTCTTTTCACGCCTTTTCTGTTTTTTCCAAATCGCCCTCCTCTTCTGTCTTCTTCTTCTTCTTCTTCTGTTCACTTACAATTTACTTATATTTGTCTTCCATATATTTTGACTGCCAATACATCATCATCAACAACAACAATCTCTTCATTTACTTCTTCTTCTATCCACTTTTAAGTTATTTCACCAGTCTCTTTTCATAATTTATCTTCTCTTAGTCATATTATTTCTTTTTGTACGTTTTCTTTACCTTTTTCTGCACTTATTTTTTTTATTATTTTTTTTACGAAAGTTTTTCCTATTCCTCGTTTTTTTTTCTTCTCTGTCCTTTTTTCTACTTACTCTTTCAAGTCTATTTTTTATTCAGTTGTTAGCTATCTCTTTCACTCTTGTTTGTCATGTTTTTGAAATAAAATTCGGCCTCTGTTTTATCTGAAGAGGAAAAAAAAGTCACTACCGAGTGAACTCTTATCTCCGGTGTACTCTTTGCACATGCGCAGTGTATAAATAAGATAGAGGAAATGCGGCTTGCCTCTGTTTTTAGTTCAAGAGCTGAGACCATTACATTTTTCTTTTAATCGATTAACATTTCTTTTTATATTTTTTTTTCTACCATTCCGCTTTTCTTCTCTTTCACCTTTTTTTTTTTTTGCTAACTGCCATCTTTCCTTTTATTATTCGCTTTGTCTTTCGACTTTCTTGTTGCCTTAACTTCATTTTCTTTCACTTTTTACTTTTCATTTTTCTTTCTGCGACTCTTACGTTTTAATTTCATCTTTACTTCTCTGTCTACCATTCGCACTTGCTTCGAATGGTGTTTCCACATCTTGTCTCAGACTCTAGCTATATATTTAGAGATCCTTGATAAAGTCCAAAGAAGAATCTGTAATATTATTGGCTCTGACCTGGCATCTCGCCTTCAGTCAATTTTTCACAACAGTGACCTAGCTGCCTTGTGCCTTTTCTATAAATAATTTCCTCTGTGGTACGAAGACATTGTGAATTTAAGCGTAGCAAGAGGGTGTCGGCAAGGTTTCATCATTTTACAATTGAAATGGCTAGATGTAATCGTAAGTTCTATGTAAACAGTTTCTTCTCTTAAAATCCCCGTTTATGGAACTCTCTTTCGAATTATTGCTTGTCGGTCAAGTTTGATCTTCAATAATTGACATGCAATTTCAACTGTTATCGTCTGCTAACTCAATTCCTTTCAGAATGAAGATAGATAGATAGATAAAAATGCTCCCGTATACGGGCGAAAACATATCTACGCACAGATAGATAGATAGATAGATAGATAGATCAAAAATAAATTAATATAGATGGATAGGACAGGAAGATAGATAGATAGATAGATAGATAGATAAATAGATAGATAGATAGATAAAAATGCTCCCGTATACGGGCGAAAACATATCTACGCATAGATAGATAGATAGATAGATAGATAGATAGATAGGTAGGTAGATAGATAGATAGATCAAAAATAAATTAATATAGATGGATAGGACAGAAAGATAGATAGATAAATAGATAGTGAACAGATTCAAATAGATAGATAGATAGATAGATAGATAGATAGATAGATAGATCTTAATTGAAAACAATTTATACTTTATGAATAAGATATACGGTTCAAAATTCTCAAAAATCGCCAAATAATTTCCTCTCATTCATTCTCGGAATTTTACATTGAAAATTTTCTCTTTTTACTTTTTGCATCAGACTTTCTAATTCTATTTTCCATCTTATTATCTTATTTCTCGATTTTGTTGCTTTTGTTGTTGTTGTTGTTCCTGTTTTAATTTTTGTTGTTGGTGTTGTTGTCGTTGTTGTTCTTCTTCTTCACAAAAATCTCCTGAGCCTGCTAATGTGACGTCCCGCCACAGCCTTCGCTCGCTCCTCGCTGCTTCGTTCGGGTGTCGCCGTTCCAAACGTGACGTCCGCCTGTCTGCGTCAGTCGTGTTGTCCCGTCCTGTGACGACCAACTGGCTTGGTATCGGTCGCGGCACCCAAATGTGACGTTCTAACCTTTTGGTGATTCGGATGTGAATCTGGTTAGATTCCATATCAGCCTCGTCGTTCCCAACTCGCTTCCAACGTCTGGTTACCAAAGTAACTGCGTTGATCTCCAGTCCGCCTACCCACGTTGTGAATTGATCTTAGGCAGACGAAATCAATCAGTCGTTGGGGCCGTAATGCAAGTTGAGTTCAAACGAGGGTGGTATCGCACAAATATGTACAAAAGAAAATAAAATAATAACTCAAAAGTTCAAGGTATCAAAAAAAAGGATAACGATACTTTATATCTGGTTGCTGGATACATAGGACTGCGTCTATCTCCCGACCCGCTATATGGATTGTGACACGTTGTTTTTGTTAGGTGAGTTTTAACATCTTAAGTTGTCTGTTCTTTAAGAAATTGGTTCTTGGTGTGTCTTCAGGCGATAGTCGTAAAACTTGTGTTGGTGGTATGAATCTAAATCGCTCTTCAAAATAAATTGTTCTTGGATTGAAGATGAGTTCGGGAATTGCGCGAATCTTACAAGTCAGCACTGCGAGGCCCGCTTCAACTGATCACTGGAGACTGAACTCTGGAAAACCGGAGTCCGAACTGATTTTCGCTCGCTGCGACCTTGTTTATATGGACGCCGACGAAAACCGGGGTGGGCTTTGTCGGGGTTTGAGGTTCCTTGATAATTCTAAATCCATGTCCACTTCTTTTATTTTCGGTTAGGAATTTTCCACTCCTTTCCATTTTTGGAAGTCTTCTCTTACTCCCAACTTCTCTTATTCTCATATGGATATCTCACCATACTTCAGAGGGGCGTCAACGGTTCTCCCCACTTCTTCGTAGCAACCTCTCATACCTATCCTCTAAATGGGCGGCGGTGGCTCCCCCTTGCGCCACGTGATCACCTCCGCCTGGCCCTCGTTGACATTCGGCCAATGGCATCCAACCGGGTGGGTGTGATCCGGCTAGCTTTGTTTTAAGAAAAAAATATATCTTGCTCAAAAAAAAAATTATCCTTTTCTTTTCCTTTTCTTTCCTTAATCGCAGCTCTCATCCCCAATGTCACCTGGGATCTATCAATGCCAATTATCAAGTGGTTAGTCGTCTAGCGAAACACAACCAATTTCCGTCCCGAAAAAACAGTTTCATTGTCCTAGTCGTATTTGCATTCTTGGTGCCAATTTCTGATAACATAGTTTTATTATCATAACCGAATTCTAACACCCATAGATGTCTTGTCAAAACGGCAAAGACTTAACCCAGGGTTGACTTCGTGTGCGGTTAACAGATGACCTATTAAATCCTTTCCCGACAATATTGTTTGAATGACACAGTTAATTTTTCTTATCTATCCAAAGCTCTATATTCATTTGGCCCTTTTCAGGCAGTCCTACGACACTGGCCGTCAGAATTTTCACCATCTTTTTCCATTATCAAAATAACATTGTCAAATGTCCCGAAGTTTAGCTAGCCGGTCTGGAATTTGTCAATTAGATTTTCGCCAGCACTAAGTGGCTGTTATCTATTCCCGATAATATAAGTCCGCCACCACGACACAGTCAATTTTTTTTATCTATTTAGAATTTTCTGCAATGGCAATGAAACCTTTCACCATTTGTTACTATCAAAATAACATTGTCAATGTCCCGGTCGTGGGTGGTTTCCTTTATCATCTAAGCTTAAGTCTCGCCTCTTTTTTTCTTTTCTTTCCTTTCTCTTTTACCTTTCTTTTTTTTTCTTTTTGTGCCCCTAAATGGTGTCACACTAAGCATAAAAATGAATACAATATGGGCACCAGTAATAAGGAGTGCCAGAGAAAAGCGATAATAATAACAACAACAAAACAAATGCAATATGAGCTCTGGTAAAAACGTGTAATGATAACAGCAAAAAATTGCAATATGAGCACTGGTAAAAAGATACTGACGACATTAGGTTTATATTATCCAGAAATTCATACACAGATGTCTTCAAGGACACGGGGCAGAGCGAATAAGGGCGTTAGTTAGATCCAGTGACAGGACTCAAAGAGTGTTTAGGCAGTGGAGAACTTGGAGAGGGGAATTAAAGGAGATAACTGATAACTGATTTCTATTAAACATGGCACGTGGAACTAGAACAGTCTACCCCAGTGAGCAAAATAAAGGATTCTGTTCGGTTTTCCAACTACCAGAAAAAGGCCGGAGCGTACAAGGGCCGAAGCGTTGTAACAAATATGGCGACAAAGATGAGGACAATAGTCCGAATAATGTAAATAATGTTCTTCTTCTTCTTCTTCTTCATCTTCTTCTTTGAGAACAATTTATACTTTATGAATAAGATTTTCTTATTTTAGTTCGCGATTTTGTTGTTGTTGTTCTTCTTTTTGTTATTGGTTTTGTTGTTGTTGTTGTTCTTCTTCTTCTTCTTCTTCTTCTTCTTCTTCCTCCGTTTCTCTCCCTTCCTACTTCGCTTACCCTCTTTCCTTTTAATCTACACATTCTCCTTCCTTCTCCCGTTTATCCGCTTTTTCTTCTTCTTCTTCCTCCGTTTCTCTCCCTTCCTACTTCGCTTACCCTCTTTCCTTTTAATCTACACATTCTCCTTCCTTCTCCCGTTTATCCGCTTTTTCTTCTTCTTCTTCTTCTTTGTCCTAGTTTTTCCGCCGCTTTTTTTTTACGCTCACTCGCATTTTAATTACATCTAGTGTTTTATCTCAAAATTACACATTTTTAATTCTTCTTCTTCATTGCTTCTTCTCAGACATTAACGTTTAAGTATCTCTCTCCTCTATTCTCTTTTTTCTCAGACGTTCGCCCCATAATTTCTTCCAAACGTTTTTTCTCAAAATTCCATCTTTTTCTTCTTTCTTTTACTTCTTCTACTTCTTTTTTCTTTTTCCCTCTTGTATTTCTTTTCTTTTCTTCTTCTTCTTTTATTTCTTCTTCTTCCGACTTTCGCTTGTGAACTTACGCGTTTTCATTTCTTCTTTTTCTCTTTTCTTCTTTCGCAGAATTTCGCGTTTTCATTTTCTCTTCTTGCTTTTGCCCGATTTCTCATTCTAATTATTTCTTCTTCTACTTCTTTCTTCTTCTCCTTTCTTCTTCTTCTTTCTTCTTCTTCTTCTCCTTCTCCTTTCTTCTTCTCCTTTCTTCTTCTTCTTCTACTTCTTTCTTCTTCTCCTTCTTCTTCTACTTCTTCTCCTTCTCCTTTCTTCTTCTTCTTCTACTACTACTTCTTCTTCTCCTTCTTCTTCTACTACTTCTTCTTCTCCTTTCTTCTTCTTCTTCCACATTCTTATTTCTGTTTCTTCTTCTTATCTTTTATCGAATAGCTGGAAAGATGGACGCTCTAGAAACACATATGTATTTAATAGTTTTTACAAGTTTTCTAGAACATACATAAAGTAATACATAATATCCGTGAAACCTATCAACACATTAAATCTACCGTGGAAATTTTTTTATAATCTCACTTTCGAGGAACGATGTCTGAAAAGTTATGTACGCAAAACCATCACCTGACCAGAATGAAAACATTTGCAAAAGCATTGAAACGAAGCGGTGCAATGATTCTTGGAACGGCCAGAACTGCCTTGATATTCAATGGAACTCATTTCGTAGTAACGTGGGTGTACCCCAAGGCTCCATCCTTGGCATTACGCTGTTTGTAATCTTCATTAACGACCTCCCTTATGATATCAGCTCTCAACTTGGCATCTACGCGGACGACACTTCCATTTACTCCTGCCTCGTTAGTAAGGTTGATCAGTCCGACAAGGTCAAAATGGCAGCTGATACACAAAATGACCTCAAGACCGTTGTTAACTGCGGGAAAAAGATGGCTTGTCAATTTTAACGCCTTCAAAACTAAACTTCTCTCCATTAATCATCGAAACACCTCTCAGCTTTCCATCAGGATGGCTGATGCTATCCACCAGAAAGGTGACTCATTGCGAATTTCGGGCTAACGTTCCCAGTTGACATGTGGTAAAAAGACTATATTGAATCCATTGATAGATCAGCTGCTAATAAAATCGGTTCATTGTGTCGGGCGAGAAAATTTTTCCCCTCCGGAATCTATCTTTCGTATCTATATGTCTACCATTCGTTTGTGCTTAGAATATTGCTGCCACATATGTTCCGGGGCCCCTGCTATTTACCTTGAGCTCCTTGATAAAATCCAGAGAAGAATCTTCAATATTATTAGGAAATGTATGAATCCACCATTTTCTCCCTTCAGCTATGGGTTAATTAGTAAGACTTGCATCACTAAACCATTAGTATATTAAAAAAAATATTTTATACTGTAAAACACTTTCTAGCTTTAAATAACCAGCAAATGGTTGATAAGCCGTGGAAAACGAATCAATCAGTCAATAATAGCAATAAAATTCATAATTACTCTCCAAATATCATAATAATTTCGATAGTATGCAAAGTCTGTGATCTCTTCTCGATTTTTATCTTGTTTTTTTTTTTTAACAATTATAAAATATATTTTCTTGTTTTCCCTCATTTTTGAGATTTTCTTTAAAACTTCTTCAAATTTGGAAAATTATAATTATCGTCAGTTTGTAATTCCAGAGTTTATCTATAAGTCTACCATTCGTCCGTGCTTAGAATATTGCTGCCACATATGTTCCGGTACCCCTGCTATTTACCTTGAGCTCCTTGATGAGATCCAAAGAAAAATCAGCAATATTATATATCCTGATCTGGCAGCTCAGCTCCAATCACTTTCCCACCGCCGTAAGGTTGCCTCTCTGTGTCTTTTCATGGCAATTGTCCGGTTGAGCTCTTCGCTATGGTCCCTAGACCCTTTAAATTTAAGTGGATTACTAGACTGGCGTCGAGATATGATCCATTTACTGTTGGGCTAGTTAGATGTAGACGTAAGTTCTATGCTAACAGTTTCTTTTCTCGCATTTCTCGCTTTGTGGGACTCCCTTCCGGCTCCATGCTTTCCAGCCAACTTTCATCTGAAAAAAAATTAAATGCAATGTCAATCGCTATCTACTGTCCTGCTTACTCTTCTCTCTTTCTACTTATTACTAATGTTTCTGTTCCTAAATCCTCCGCATCTTGTAACCCCTTGCGTGTTCGTGACTGTACTGCCTTGCATGGGACGATAGCGTTTTAAAGAATCATATTTATTATAAAACCCAGGCTGTGTGTGTGTGTGTGTGTGTACGTTTATATATTGGATCGGATTTCCTACATTTTCAACCGGTTTCAACAAAACTTCACAGGACTACGTAAAATTACCTTGCGGTGATTCTGACAGCGCCAAAAATTGGAAAAACACAATTGTTTTTGCACGAAATCAATTTGAAAACACGATTAAGAGGCAACGCGAGAATGAAAGGGGGACAACTTCTATCGAGTTATACTTATTATAAAACCCAGGTTGTTTGTTTGTGTGTTCGTTTATATATGGGATCGGATTTCCTACATTTTTCGACCGATTTCAACGAAACTTCACTTTTTTTTGGCAGGTAGTGTTTCTTATTGTCTTGCACACTTTTTTCTTTATTTTTACATTCAGAATGCTTTAAAAATTACATTTACAATTGTTTATAATAAAATTCTATTCAATCGGTAGACTCATAACAATTGAAAACAATGTTTTTGTTTGAGTTTGACCAATTCGTAAAAAAAAAAATAATAAAAAAAAAAAAACTAATTAAGACATGCGTGTCCGTCAACCTTAAACAATAATCGTTGTCAATTTTATTTTTCAGTCTTTACTTGATCTATCTTTTACTGTTACATCCCCGGGCAACGCCGGGCTCTACTGCTAGTATATTATATGACGAACTGAATTATCGCCTTATAAATGTCGAACTGAAACGATCTGGCAATATATTAGAAGTTTCTGTGTATCTTTGGGAAATATTTTATTTTGAAAATTACTTTTTCATTAACTTAAAAAACCGTCCTTGGCAAGACGATAAACAACATCCGCATCCTGGGTAAGACGATAAACTACGTCCAAAAGTAAGGCCTCTGATCAGGAGGTTTTGAGGAGCGTGGAACCACCTCTTAATTGCTGGTGTTCCCAGGTCCACTCTGACCCTGGTGGTAGCACTATCTTTGTAACCTTTTTGTTTAATATATCTTTCTGACCTCTAATCCGTGTTCCGTGTTTTACTTCCGTGGTCCCAACTTTGGGTCCACATCAATATGCCATAAAGCAAAACAAGCCAAACCAAAACTTAAAAATAAACAAACCAAACTGTCGCAAAATTTCAAGACAAAGAAGAGTATATCACATACATTTTTTAATAAGTTATAATACATCCAAGTTTATAAATAATCTTATAATGCTTTCTGACAGTCCCTATGATTTATTTACATACTTGTTTAAAAGCCCCGAAACTAAAAGGACTCCATATTCCAGCTTGGAAAACAGCAATGATAATGTTGAAGAAATATCTTTGGATTCACCAATTAACTCCATGGAACTTCAAAACGTCACTTTAACTCTGACTCGAACTACAAGTCCAGTTCCGTTCAAAAGACCGATTTGGGTCGAAAGATCGATTTGGGTCAAAATTCCAATTAAGGACGAAAATTGAATTCTTCAAATCATAAACTCCGTAGAACGTCCATTTAGCTGAGTTCTTCAAATGTTAAACTCTGCAGAACTTCAAAGCCTCACGTCACGAAATCTCTCATGTTAACTTTAATTCCTTGGAATTTTGAAGAAATAAAATTGATTTTCTCAATTCACTAAGTTTTGGAGATAATATAAACTGAATTTGAAACAAAAGTTTTAAATTTACAACCGTTTTGTGTTACTTTAAACTCAATATAAATTGAAAGAAAAAATATTTAAAATCACCATTTTGTTTTTTCAGTTATTCAAAAATTTGAATTTTTAACTGTTACCCTTCTCACCCAGAAAAAGATTTCAATGCTGGATGTTCAAGCCGCAGGTAAAGAGCAGATTTTCAACTACGGGATCATCCTGATTCCAAAAAGGTATAATATGTAAAGCCTGTGTGTCCCGTGTTAGAGGTGTTTCAGACACTCTGACGGACATACAGAACAAACAGAAGTAACCATTGTCTGTTAAAATTCCTCCACATTATATATATATATATATATATATATATATATAGTCTTTTTGTTGCAATCCGTGGGTTAAAGAGTGTTATAAAGTTCGTATAAGGCTAAATGACTGTAATGAAAACATTGGAAACAAAAGGTTGAGTGAAGAAGGGTTTAATCACATGAGAAGATGAACTGAGAATGCATCAACTTTGAACGTTTGAAAGCAGTACGTCTTAGCGACCCAATTTTTCCTGTGTTCCATGGGCAGACGTTCTTCTCATCTTTCTATTCATACCATGTTTCAATAACAGGTATAGAGAACGTTATTCAGTCTTTCTGTACAACAATGTTTAATCATATTCGTTTCAACCGGCCTGTAAAGCATTTCAAACAAATATTATTACACAGCTATGAAGTCAGGACAAGCGCCCAAATCTTTCTTAGATATTACCAACCGTCTACTTCTGGTAAGATAAAGAGAGCGCCCTGATAGGTAAGATTATGTTCCGCTGAGAGCGATATCTAAAATGGCACCGTCGGTTGATTTTTGAATGACAATCTCAGTCATATTTAATGCACGCGAAGCTTACATTCTTCCATTGTCTTCTAGCCTTCAATTGGTTACAGTATATACGCGTATACACACCCTTGTGCAAATTAATTGAAACAAAACGGATACTTCCATTATTATTTACTTTTTTTCGTTTTTTTTCTTCCGATGAAACATTACCCAGTGCACATGATAGTACTTCGTATGTCCATTATACGAAGTCGTCCCTTGCAGATTGACCACAGATTCTCCATTGGATTTAAATCAGGAGAGTTTCCGGACCAGTCTATAATACTTTAATTTGCTCAATGAGAAGGCTTGTCAGTGTGCTCGTGCAGCGTTACAAGTTTCGTACGCTTCCTTGGAGTAACTTCCATCGCAGACACTGGTCGTAGGACAACTAATCGACAGTCTAAACAATAGTATCTGGGCGTGATGAAAATTTGATGCAATCACAGAAGATGCAATATTTTTCAAGGCTAAACAAATTTCACCATACACCCCAAAATAGATTCATATTACTGCATACCACTGCAAATGACTTAATTCGAGGAAAAAATAGAAATCGATTTAAACCTGTCACACCAGTGGGTGTAAAACTGATCGTATGGTGAAAGAAAGGAATCTAAAGTGGTTGTTTCAATTAATTTGCACAAGGGTGTATATGAGATTTTTTACTGGATATCATCCTTGTTACGGTTTTTTGTGTATATTATATATAACTAG